AGCATTTATTTCCTTTTGTTCTGTTTTTATATAAAACAGTATCAATATTAATTATTTCTTACTTTTTCAGACCTGAGGTGTATGATTGTGATTCTGCATCATAATTGAAGACTTAAAGTCTGGTTTAGAGCTGCAAATCATTCAAGAGGCAGGTTTTTTTGCAAGATAATCATGTGAAATATGGAACTGATTTTTCCTGAGTCATCATTCCTTTCAGATGTGGACATTTTTGAGCTTACAAAGTATTCTGAATAGGTCAGTTTAAAATGAAGGGGTTAGCAACTTGGTTTTTTTCATAACATGTTGTCTTTGTCAAATGTCATATGTGCCTTATTTGGCTTTATCACTGTTCTGATTGTACTTCCAGATTTTACTCTGAACTGCCTTTTACTGATAGCATTCATACAAAATCTTATCTTGAAAGATATCTTATCTTATCTTGGTATACAACCACTAGGTCTAGGTATTTCATGTGATTGCAGGTAAATCATACATTAGATATCGTATTATTCAGTTGTGCATGTGTTCTTTCTGACTGTGAAACTGAATCAAATACTTTCTTGTAGCCCAGTAGCAGTGACCTCTCACAAGCTCCGATATCCATATCTTCTATCTTCATGCCCGTTCTCAACCACTGCTGTATTAGACTCCTTGTTACTTAACATGCTTTATAGGCTTCTCAAGCAGAAGTTGATTCACTATTCCTCTCTTTCCTTTTGTTAATATCCTTCAGATGTCCAACCAGTGAAATATTAGGGGTTACTGTCAAAGCTGTATTAGCAGTTCCAAATCAACATGGGAAGATGAAAGGCTCTTACCTTTCCTTCATTTCTTAGGAGTAATAGTTTTGCTTTCAAGCCTTTCTGCTATTATTTAGCAATCTTTCACTGTCCTTGATGTTTACATGTCCTTTCTCAATTTTGTTCCTAGTACAATCCAGAAAGAAAAACAATCTGGTTTATGCTTGAAGAGTTTTCATACACTAAAGCCCTGACTCTAGTAATATATACAGGCACCACTTAATTGCAAACCAAGAAAATAAGTACTGTTTAAATTATTGTGCATTAGCTTCTTGCACAAGGAAGTTGCTCTGGTTTTGGCTTTGCAATACTGAATAATGCCATGTGTCAACATAGGTCTTTTGAAAAGGGGCACAAAGCTGTAGAAAAGATGTCTCTACCACTAAGAAAATTTCTCCTACTAGATCTTGTTTGCACTTTGGAATAATTTTCATCTTTCTAATTGCAATTGGTTCTGAGATACCTCTGTCTGTGAATCTTACCATGCTTACAAACCTGTCTCAGACCCAACCATTACCCCTGAGTCCTCATCAGTTTTGCCTCTAGCTCTCTTAATTACTTAATTGCAGTCAGCTCCTCTGGACACATGGTATATTTTCTTTCCAAACAATGCTCATCAAAACCAGTTAGCAAAAGCTTTCTGTTCTCTTAGATTTTAATTATGATTTTAACATTACATAGGATCATAAAGTCATTTAGGTTGGAAAAGACCTTTAAGATCATCAAGTGTGATCACTAACCCAGCACTGCCAAGCCCACATGGCAGGGTTAGAGGGAATGTTACTTTCACATTGTATTAGTGTTTTCTGATTTCTGCTGAAGGCACCAGTCATGTAATTACCTGAAATTACTTTCCTCACTTTTTCTACCAAATTGTTTCTACTTTTTTCCAAATAAATGGTATTATGAAGCTTCATTCTAAAATTGCTTAGCTGTAATCAATTCTGTTACCCTTTGCCATTCTGTTCTGGCATGGGTTTTCTCTGCTGAGTGTAGAGACAGTCTGAGTTAAACAGTTTTACTGATAGTTGTAATAGTCCAGTATTTAATGTTGTTTTAAGAGCCTTTCCTATAGCATGGAGCTGGAAGTAATGGTCCCAAGCTGTTCCTGTCTGTGACTAGCTTCTGTGGATGTTAGTCCAGACAGACCTATGCTTCCTACTTATGAGTACAGCCTAGTTTCCTGTGTAGTAAATTTCTATGTACAGCAAAGTTTTCTGCAGCCCCGTCAAGTGAAGAAAATCAAACTGGAGTAGTAAGTTCTAAGGTAAGAGAACTCACAGTTACTGACATTCATGGTTGTGCAAGAGCTTGCATTTTGACACAGTGATAAACCAAAACTATCTCTATGCATTCTTGGCACAGCAGCTCAGAATTTACAAGCCCTCTTACCACATATTATCCTGGAAAGTGCAATGCAAAGGCTAAGGTAGAATGACAGGACAAGTGTTTGTCCAGAACTGGTGCATCCTGGCTAAATATTTCTGTTCTGTATTTTTAATGCAATCCACAGTACCCATACTGTTCAGAACTCTTATTCACTATTTGCAGAGTTCGGTATCTCTGATAGAGAGAGATACTCTTTGGGAGTAATGACAGACACAGTGATTCAAACCAGTATAAGCCATAAATATAATCTTCTCTGAAACATCTAGAGATTCCCATATCTACAGTAACCACCATATTAACGATTGTCATTAACTTTTGGTATCTGTGTCAGGCAGTCTGTCATGGCCTATGAGTGTCAGAAGTGGCCTCTGTAATACAGAGTGTGGTGGATTGAACCTGGATGGATACCAGGCACCCACCAAAGCTTCTCTATCACTTCCCATTGCAGCTGTACATGGGAGGCAAGGACTGGGAGTTTAGAGTAAGGGGCATGAGGGAAGAGTTTTGACACTCAGTGGTGTCTTGATATGCTTCCGTCTTGTTTTTTCCTGGTGGATCTCTTGGTTATTGGACTATATTGGGTTCTGTGAGCAGTGAAAGAGAAAACCAAAAACAGAAACAAACAAGATGGATAGAAGAGGTAGAGCATAGTAAATTTCTTCTGAGTGTCTCCCATAAAGATGAAAATATTGGTTTCTTCTTTAAGCTAATATCCTCATTCCAATTGGAATAGCAGCAGAATAGCATTCCTATCAGCAGTAGCCAAGAGGGGTCATGGCTAAGACCTAGGAGGATTCTTCTATTCCATCTCATGTTATTGCTGGGGTCAGGGGAAGGGAGTCTATTCCAAAGAGAAGGGTTTCCTTCCAGTTGGGTAAGCGAGGTCCAGGTTCTGAGCCAGAGGGAGCAGTTGGATAACATCGGTTCCAAGCTGGAGGGGCCAGTCAGGTGGCACTGGTTCTGAGCCAGAGGGAGTAGTGGGACATTTATCTCTTGTCAGAGTCTGCCACTATCTTTTGCCACAGGGAGCAGTAACGGGTTTTTTCTTATACTCTCTGCCTTTAGTATTGTTGCTGTTACTGGTCATTTTCTTATCTCAGTGCCATTCCCAGTAAATTGTTCTTATCTCAACCTGTGATCTTTACCTTTCATGCCTCCAATACTCCTCCAGCCTTCCGAAGAGGGGAGGGGTAGCAAGTGAGTGGTACATGATTTGGAGATTCTCAGGGAGCATTAAATTGAGGAGTACGATTCCTAAATCACGGCAGCCAAAAACGCGGAGTGCCATTAATACCAGATCTTCAGTTTACTTGTGAGAGTTCAGTCATTTTACAAGAGCAAAGCAGGAGCATGACAATACACACAAGTTGTTACATTCATATGGGATGAGCACCATTTGGGAAGTCCAACTATGTCTTCCTGAAAATATAGCAGTACAAGGAATTTTGAAGCACATGTGCTGACAAAAGCAAGAAGTTACCAAAGATAGTAGGAGTTCCTAGACTTTCTGCCCTAAGGTTTATATTGTGCTTTGTAGTAATAATTACAACTTTGTAGTAACAAAGTTGCAGCTCATTCTTGCTGGAACATGCCCTTCGCAAATTACTTTTCAAAGGCAGAACAATCCACAGTTTATTTTTAGAGATTTTTATTTTGCATTGACTTTCTTGATAAAGTAAAGGTATTTTCACACCTGAAGGATGGGATGCCATCCAGAGGAGTGTGAACAAGCTCAAAAAGTGGGTGTACAGGAATCTCATGAGTGTTTAATAAGACTAAGTGAAATGTACTAGATCTGGCTAGAGCAAGTGCTGTATGAGGGTTGAGGCATGAAAGGATCAAGAGAGCCCTTCCCAGAGGGGCTTGGGGGTGCTGGTGGGTGAGAGGCTGGACATGACCCAGCCATGGGCACTCCCAGCCCAGAGAGCCAAACGTGTCCTGGGCTGCATCCAGAGCAGCGTGGGCAGCTCTGGGGTCCCTGCACAGGAAGGACATGGACCTGCTGGAGCAGGTTGAGATGAGGGCTAGAAAAATAATCAGAGGGATGGAGCACCTCTCTTATGAAGAAAGACTGAGTATTTTGTTTGTTCAAAGTGTTCTTGTTGAGTATTTTGTTGGGAAAGAGAAGGCTTAAGGGTGACGTAATTGTCGCCTTTCAGTACCTGAAGGGAGCCTACAAGAAAGATGGAGAGACTATTTACAAGGGCATGTAGTGATAGAACAGGGGGGGATGACTTCAGACTGCAATAGGGTACATTTAGATCTCATATTAGGTAAAAATTCTTTACTGTGAGGGTGGTGAGGCACTGGAACAGGTTACCCAGAGAAGTTGTGCATGCACTACTATTGGAAATGCTCAAGGCCAGGTTGGATGGAGCTCTGATCAGCCTGGTCTAGTGAAAGGTGTCCTGCACATGGCAGGAGGATAGGAACTAGTTTATCTTTAAGGTCCCATTCAAGCCACACCATTTATGTTTCTATGATTTTTGCAATGCAGATAAATAGAGATTGTTAAAATTCATTTTAAAAGAAGAAAACCGATCATAATACAGTTTTAGACAGCCTTTTTGGTTTTATTACTTCCTTCTTTTGCTGTCTTGTGATTTTTTTGTCTTTTCCACAGAAGACTTTTTCTGACATTCCTGTTTTATGTTTTATCATCTTATTAAAAGTAACTGGTATTAAATTTAAGAATATCACCTGTGTGTACTATCTTCTTAAGCATTACTGAAAATGACCTTCCAGACAATTAGTTTATCAAAAATAGTTATTAGCTGAATGTGAAAATATGTTCTCTTTTTCTTCTTGCAGCCTGAAAATGATAACCTGCATACAGATGATGAGCATGAACTCAGACGAGATAAAGAAAGCTATCTCTGTGCTGTGTGTCTGGATGTTTATTTCAATCCTTACATGTGCTATCCATGCCACCATATCTTTTGTGAACCTTGCTTAAGGATGCTTGCCAAAGACAATCCAGCCAGCACTCCATGTCCACTATGTCGTACTACAATTGCCACAGTCTTTTTCCAAAGAGGTATAAAAATGAAAGTTTTTTACCCATAGTAAAAAAAAAGTACCCATATTTGCACTTTACCTTCCTCTATTCTGTATTGTTCAGAGCAAATTTTGGTAATGTTAATCCACTGTGAGATTTTCTTTCCATTTAGCTCCTCCTAAGAACATTCCATGCGGGTTCTCTTCAACGTCAAGAAGCTATTCTGGACATGTACTTATAAACTTTATTTTAGAAGTGAGATTCTGGTAGTTTTCTCTTCTGGTAGAATTCTGGTAGATTTATTTTGTTTCTTCTTCCTGAATAATAACAAGCTTTAAACATAATAAACATTTTTCAAGCTATTCCACTGGAAAAGTGTTTTTAAAATTGCTCATTTAATGGCACATAAAAAAAAGTGCTCTTTTCATTTATGACATTGAATTTGGACACAAGTGAAAATAAAGGCTGGCAGAACCCTTGTTAATCTTCTCAAATTCTCCCATCCTAGCCTCTTATACCCTCATCTCCTGTGTTCCTTTCTCTTAACAGTAGGAAAATATGGTGGCTAGGGGGTGTTTGGTGTCAGATTGGGTATAGAAATAGAGGAGGGTTAAGTAGTCCTGCAGATAGAATATCTGGAACAGCATGAGTCATTCTTTTATGTCCAAAACTTATATGGTAGATTCAAGTACCATTGATAAAATTGCACTATGGTATCAGGAGTTAGGTTATTTACAGCACTTAAAACTGTGTATAGACAGATCACAAAGTAATGGAAATGATTCAGCCATGCAGGAGTGTTTGTTTCATTTTAGATGCTACTGAGATCTTGCAGAGATCCTCTTTAAGCTGTTGAGAATGCTGTGATGATGAGAGGTTAGGGATGCAGACTGAAGTATGATTTCACATTGATCAGCAGAGCTGCCCACCTTCTGTTTCTGGTTGTGCACAGACTCTGCCTTTGTACAGGCATAACTTTGTATGATTTGATGGCAGGTCAGTTTGAGGAACTGACTGGAATAAATAAGAACTCATTTGGGTGGGAAGGAGGCATTCTTCAGATGAACCTGTTGCCCCAAGATGATTCACTGAGCAGCTGCTGGTTATCCAGACTGGCTATCCCTGCACTGACTGTACTGCAGCAGAGAAAATGGATGGAAAGCTGCAGCCTGAGCACTCTCAACCCCCTGCCTGTCTGGTGTATAGAGATTTCAAGCTGTTCTCACTTCATTTCCCTAATGTTTGATGCTCCCTTCAATTTGATGTACAGATGAAGTGTGTTTCACTGATAGAGAGTTAGGTTTTTCTACAGCTATTTAAATTTTAAAAAAGCAATTTAGCAGATTTGCTGCAGAAAATTACTACCGGGAGAGCACAAAAGGAGAATAAATGTGCTTTCTAAAATGTATTTGTAAAACTTTTCAACATGTTACAGTTATCTAAGTGAAATATTACCAGGATTATTTGTAGCCTTTAAGTACTTAACGTATAATGTGTAAAAATGCCAGGTGGGAGGGAATGAAGAAGAAGGAGCCAGATTTTCCTCAGTGCCAGCACAAGAGGCATCTGGCACAAAATGAAATACATGAGATCTCATCTGAACACAAGAAAGCACTTTTTTTCATGTGAGGGTATCAAACAGGCTGGTCAGAGAGGCTGTGGGATACCCATCAAACCCATCTGGACATGGTTCTGGCTACCTGTGTAGCTGACCCTGCTTGAGCAGGTTGCACTAACTGTTCTCAAGGCATTCCATTCAGCCTTACCCACCCTGCTAAAATATTAAATAGGTATGTAGCTTTTTTGAGGGCAAATATTTATGTGGCTAAGGAGGAAAAATGGTGTCATAGATATGTGAGTCTACTATAAATAGTGGACCATAAGAGTATATAATATGTTTTGTATTAACAACTTCAGATGAGAGAAATCTGCAGCTATTTGTATATTGCTATTCAGTATATAGCAATATGTGTTTGACTTAGCTATCTGTTTAAAAATAGGGATGCTCATTTAGCTTTGTTTTGTTATATATTAAAAAAATAATTTTGAAATTTTCCAGTGCATAGCATATGGAACAATTTTTAAATTAACTAAGGGGTATTGATGATGATATTGTATCCTTAGAGAAATTAGTAAAATCAATACATTAAGAAGATGGATTGCCAGAGCAATGTAAAGCATAGTTTGTTTGGTTTTTTTTTCACTCAGAAGAGTTATTAAGCCTTCTAAAAGTTACGCTGAAGTCACTGCTGCTATAGGTTTGTGCAGGCAGCAAAGCAAAGTTGCTTATAATCTTTACATACTTCTCTAATACTGCAGCTGGGATGTCTTATTTCCCTCACTAATTTATTTTGGATGCTTTCTGCAGCTTTCCATTTGCATATGTGCATATTAAGGATATATTCAGAAGTTCACTTTTTAGCTTGTACAGTTTTCCAGACTGAACATAACTGCAACAGAAGGATGCATGTAATGTGTAAAAAAAAAAAAAATAAAAATATTATTTATCAATTATGGAGAAGAATGGTATTTTGAGAGCTACAAAGCCATATTTGACTCACAAGGGTAATTCCTCTGGCCAGTTGCCTTGATCAACTGAGCTTTGTTTACAGGATCCCTTAAACATGAGTTCCAGTCCATACAGATTGCTCTGATGGTATTTACTATCATTCCCATCTTTCTTAAAGGCTTTCTTTGAAGCCCTTCTCCCATCAGAATAAACTCATATGGGATCAGATGATAGCATGCCCAGGATACAGCTAAGAAAACAGCTCTGGAGCTGATTCCACCAAGCAACTTTCTAAGTTACCAAGTATCTTTTAAATGTTTCATTTACCAGGGAAGAGCAATCTTCTACACTTCCATTCTTATGAAGTTTAATTTATTTTTTTTTGCAAGAAGGGCCAGATCTGACATACATGTGCAATAAATCCACCACTTTGGAAAAATGCAGATTGAGAGTAGCAGTTGTGCAAAGGAGGTCCAGGCATGGACATGGCAGGGAAACAGGGTCATGTAAGTACAGGACAGGTGACCTGACCAGCCTGAGGGGCTCTTTCATTGAAAGCCTAGCCAAGTAGCCTTCTAGAAGCCAGTAAGGCTTGTCACAATTGCCTTTTGTGAAAAGCAGGAATTTGATGCCTCACCAGAGGTTTCAGTATTTAAATTTGAATAAAATTGAAAGAACTGTCTGTCTGTCTGTAGCAGAAATTAAAATGTTCTCTGTCTATGCTATGAGAGGCAAGCAGAGTGTCATCAGAAGTTTGGATCTGAATAGTACTTAATCCAAATATGTTCAGTAGCATATATAGCTTTTTCATAAAAATCTAAAAACACCGGTGAAAAATGTTTGTTCATTTTACATTTAGAAGAGAAAAAGGCCTTTTCACCTCTAGTGACAGCAGTATGTATGTGCAGCAGCTCTATTTCCAAATAATGAGATAGAAAATCTGAAAATTCTGTGCTCTTCATATGTTGTCTAGCCTCATTCCACCTGCATTGTGACATGGTGAAGTAAAGGATAATTTTTTTAATCAGACCAGCATGGATTTTTTACTTCAAATCTGCTAATATCTTCATCTTACACAGAAAAAACTACTGGAAGCAAAAGAATTTTTCTTCTTTTTTGAGCCTGCTCACAAAAAAGCTTAGCTTTCTTAAATTTGCAGAGAAAAATATTTCATCATTTCATAAAATATTGGTTATTATAAAAGTATGTTCCATTACATAAAGTAATAAGCCTTCTCAAAAAAAAACCAGTGCATGTCTTTTCTTACTTCGAAGGTACAAGAAGAATTATGGTAACAACTACTATTAATATTTACCTGAGCCGTCTTGGTTTGGAGACACAACTTGTGAGGGGTTTGATGGGCAGGGGGTTGAAGTTTTTCCTGTTAAGTACTAGGTTAGCAACCCTGTTTGTTATCAGCAGATCAATTCTATGGTAGGAAAATATTGTTGTTTTTAAATTGTTTTCGATTGCATTGCTATGGATAGATTAGTTTGGCAGTTTTTGAGTTGCAATCATGCAGGTATTTCACCAAATTATACCCTGAGAAGATGCTTTCTTGAGGTTAGTACATAATGCCAACTCCTCCAATGTGTCGTGAATCATCCTACAAATGTTTTCTTAGTTCCTGTTAATCCAAAGTATTTTTAAAAATCTCAGAAATATTTCAGGCTCTTCCCCTTCCTTTGCATTACTGTTACTGAGTGGTGATATTAAACAAAAAGCAATATGAACTGAGAATTAATATCACAGTCATTTTTATGGATATAATTTTTCTTCATAGAGGTCATAGTTTTGTAAGTTAAATAGCTTGATTTCTTAAATACATAATTTTGTCAGAACTTGACATCACCTTTTCTAATATTTTTTTTTCAAAGAAACAGAATGTTTAAGACTTGCTCTTACTATATATGGAAATGCTTGGGTAAATGTGATGTTTTTAAAAAATCAGATGTTATAATCAGAAGAAGGATTACACAGTAGATATGGCATTTTTATTTTGTATAAATTTATGCAAATTATCACTTTATTTAGAGCATTGATGTATGTATTCTTTCCCCTTAATTATTGTAGATCTGAATAACTCTACCAGATCTTTTTTCCCTATGGAATATTTGAATCTAAAGGAAAATTTTCAAAAATCCAATTCTGCTAAATGGCCCCTACCAAGCTGCAAGAAAGCATTCAGAGTTCTTGAAGGTAAGATTTTTCATTTTTGTCTAAATATCATTCAGTCTCAAGTGTAATATTTGAAAATAAGACTGTAATTAATGCATGCCATTGGCAAACAGACAGATGATTCTTAAAGTAGAGAGGAGTTTAATTCTCGTGGGTGATTCATACACAATGCTCTGAATCTAAAGATAAACTGCAAACTGTAAAAAGACAATTGTGTATGTACCTTTTCATTTATTTTTGAATCTTTAATTCTGTGCACATTACCAGGATAATTGTATGAAGCTTCCTCCTTAGAAGAGTTTGTGTCTACATAGAGGAATAAAGAAAATTACTCTAGGAAAAATGTTACTAGTTCTGAGTGTGGTCAATAAAGACCTCTCAAAAAAAAAAAAAAAAAAAAAAAAAAAAGCCAAAAAAGCCAGAATCAGTCTATTATGAGAGAAGTCAAACAAAAAGTTTTTGAATAATATAGATTATTCCATACATATTGCTTACAAAATAAAGTAATGGGTATGGGTGTTTTAGTTTCATTTTCTCTTTATTATATGAGGAAAGAAAGTCATCTTTTTGCTACTTTAACACTTAAACATTTTCATGATTAACTGATTATTGACTGAACAACATTTAAGTTAGACCTCCTAAATGCAGGATTCACTGTTTACCCATATTTCCCTGTTTTCAGTCTAACGGCCTTTCTTCACCAGGCCTCCTGTATGTTTACTTATATAGTTATGAGTATACATTTTTCATAGTGCTGAGTCTCTTGTGCAGATATACTTTTCCTGTTTGTAACAACAGATTGCTTCTAAAAGTATGTGGAAAAAATAAAACAGAACTTCCATTTTATATTCCTTGTATAAGTCTTCCCAGGCCTTTGTAAAGGTGAAATTTTGATGAATTCTGGTACTCCAGTTATAAAATCATGTCATGTAAGGCCACAATTTGATACTGAAAATATCAAGAAATGTTCCTGGCTATCAAAAATAGCAGACTTGAGAAGTCTGAGGACTGGTGAATTATCTTTGATATTACTCAGAGAAGAAACTGTTGGCAGGATAAACTAAGATGAATATTTATTTTCTCCAATATGAGTTACTGTGATATGGTTGTTAATGCTGAGCTTATTGGTTTATTTTAATATATATTATGTATGTGACATAGTTCACATCCATAATATATATTCCTTTATCTTTTGTACTGCTATATGAATTATGCCTTTTATAAATATATTTCACAATGCTAAGTATTGTACAAAGCATAAATGATTAGAAGTAAAAGAAAGATCTGGAGAGGTCATACAGTTTCAGTATTGCTCTACCTGAAAATTTGCCATATTGTTCAGCAAAGGTAATTTTGAATGCTGGAATTATGTGTCTTCAAAGGGTAGCCTAAAAGTCCCACACTAAATGGGACCATGGTTAGATCTAGTTAATATGACACACAAACCAGAAACTTGTCTGAAACTTTGTCTTTGAATTCCTAAATAAAACGGTTACTGCCATGTTTCTCTTCTGACTTTTTATTTCAGTAAAAACTACTGCATGTTTGTGTGCTTTCAAAATGCAAATATATAGTATTTTCTTCCTGGACTGTTTATTTGGGCTTATATCTAAATTGTGCTTGGCAACACCTAAAGTTCCATATTTGGTTTTCATAATTGCATGTGTTCTGTGGCTCAGGAGGCTGCTAGGAGCTTAATAAGCATAAAATACTGAAAACAGTGGCAGCAAAAGTCTTCTGACACCGTATTAGGTTCTATTGCAAATGCAAACTCTGGTACCACTGAGATCTGAAGGGATAAAGAGGGTACTTAAATTAATTCTCTTTTAACTGAGAACCTAGTAGTCTAATAAAATGTTAGAATTTCAGAAGACAATATAAAGAATGAGAAAAGAAATAGGATGGGTACATGAGTAGAGTGACTGGAGTGAAGAGGGACATGATTACAGTGCTTAGAAAGCAATGAAATCTTGCAAATTTGAATGTGAAAATAACGACTTCTATATAAAGAGTGCACTGTCAAATACTGCAATACATTATCAAAGAAGAAATTGTCGAAGAAGAAATGTAGCCATGTTAGAAATACATGTGCTCTTTTACCTTCATATCCAGAAGGCCCAGTGTTCACTGAGAATCTAGAAGTCCTTTTCATATGATTCCAGCTTTCATTGTGACAAAACCCCTTTCACAACATCATTTTACTATCACAGATACAAAAATAGTAAACCTTAACCAGTAAATCACTCATGAGAGATGCCAGATAAAATCAGACTTCAGAACTAGACTGGGATATGAGGAGAGAAAGATGACTGTTAGGAAGTCTAGATTATTTACAAGATTTATCAGGTTAACTGATTTAGACTGTCTAATGTTTCAATGTTTCTGAACATTGAACATTTATCTAGCAGGGCTGCTAGATAAAATCAAGCACTTCCTCTTTTTCCTTATTTTTTTTCCTGAAGTGATTCACTAAGCCAAATATATTTGGTAATCTACATGTGAGTCTTCTTTCCTATAAGATTTTCTACGAGGAATGTAGAATTACCTTTAATAATACAACCAACCATAGCTTTTCAGTTCTTACACAAAAAGAAAGAAACCTCAGCACTGCAGCACTATTAGGCTTTAAGCTGATGAAAATTGCTCCAGATTAGTTTGCCCTTGTATTGCCCTGTATTTTTTTTTCCAATGAGATAATCAACAGAATTCCTATTTGTTAATGAATGTTGTGAATTCCATTCATAAACATTACTTATGGTATTGCTCTCTATATGGTGTGCTGTGTTTGGTCAAGGATAAGTTAATCATAAAATGGAAACACTATTCAAGAAGGAAAGCAATTCTTCTTTTCCCATTCAGATTTTTAATACATATAAAAGTTAACAAGCTGATTTTAAATATTTCTCTAAAATACCTTCTGTTTCATATGAGATAGACGAAGATATTATATTAGTTATTCTTTTGAGTACTGTCAACTTTAAAAAAATGTTTTTCCACAATAGAAATAGCATCTCAATTAATGGTTTCCTTAAGTAGATTTTAAAACATAAACAGTGTCATTTGAACAGGAGAGTTAAATAGCAAATACACTCAATTGGATCCTATTATCATATATTCATAATTGAATAACTTCAGTATGGCCTTTGTATGCCATTAAAGTGGAATTGCATTCTGTGCACTGTACAATCACAGGAAGTTCACCAACTAAGGGTAAGTCTCCCAGAGTAATTTTGTACACAAATATGGGTTAAAATAAATGATTAGGATAATTTAAATTGCAAATATGATACTTAATTTGACAATGATTTTGATGTAATCAAGTGCGGAAATTAAATATTACTGAGACATTTAGTACACTAAGGGCCTAAAAGTGTTATTTCAAAAGCTTTTGCATAAGTCTGAGATAGAAATATATTGAAGAGATAGAGGATAAAGTAGTCAGGATAATAATGGTAGCATTGTAGATGGATGCTGGCTGCCCACTATAGGGTAAGGTTGCAGAGATGGCTCAAGAAAAGTAGAGGTAGGTGGTCAGAACAGGAGAAGGGGATCATGAAACCTCTGAATTACAGCTGTTGGTGACTATTTGAAATTGTAATTATTACTAGGCTAATATGAGTCCCGTCCAACTGTTACTGTTGCTGATGTTTTTGTTTAAAATATGGCAATTGAATTGAAAGTTTAGTTAAAAATAGAGTATTTATTTCTGTCTTTTCAAATGCTTAATCTAGAAAATATTCCCCCAGTGCTGCATACGATGAAATCTGTGGAGATTCTTTCCTGATCTCGTCTCTTTCAATACTTAATGAAAAGATTGACTTCTGCATGAGTGAAGGATTGTACAATAGGGTGTGTTCCAAGCCTACTAAAACCAGGTGGAAATTATCACCACCTCAGTAGGTGACATCTGCCATGTCCTTTTATGTAATCACTTACTAGAGAAAATGGTGAACAATTTCCTTTAGAGAAAGCTCCTAATAATACCTGTTGGTACATTTCTTTGTATCTGTCTTTAAAATTGGGGTACAATAATAAAATTTACTTTCTTGATTCAAGATTCTTGTTATTGTGATTTCAGTTTGATAGGCAAAAAAAGGCAGGATTTTAAAAACAGAAAAATTACATGTTTTAAGTTCATAGTTCCTTGTTTGAAAGAACAAAAAAAAGTGATACTGGTTTTCAAGTTCAAGTACTGTGATCTTTTGAGAAGAAAAGATAGGTATTACTGAAAATAGAAGGTGCAGCATTTAATTTTAGCTATAAAGAGTAATGCTGGCAGAAGTCTTCCAGAATAATCCTTATTTTGGACTATTTTTCTCAAGTTCTACTTTTCCATCCCATCAGGATCACCCAGAGCAGGTGACACAGGAACTCATCCAGGTGAGTTTTGAATGTCTCTGGAAAGGGAGACTCTACATCTCCCTGGGCAGCCTATTCTGGTGCTCTGCCAGCCTCAACACAAAGTTCTTCCTCATGTTGAGGTGGAAGTCCTTGTGTTTCAGTTTATGAGCATTGCTCCTTTCCCAGTCTCTGGACACCACTGAACAGTCTGGCATCATCCTCTTGGCACCCACCTTTGGGATATTTATGTGTGTTATTGAGTTTCTCTCTCAGTCTTCTCCTCTCCAGATTAAACAGGCCCAGCTCCCTCAGCCTCTCCTCATAAGATTCTTCAGTAGAGCTTGTGAAATCACAAAAAGTTAATTTGCACACATCTATTTCTCACAAAATGCATTTGCAATCTGCAGTCTTCACATAAAGTGAATTTTCTGCCTAAAAAAGACACACACCACTGCAAAGTGTTGTCTCAGAGTATCTGTTAGGCTTATAGTACACTAATACAGAAAAGACACAATCCAAGTCTGCTGGTTGAGTGTCTTAGGTCGGCTCCACTGATGGCACTGATGGCAACTTTCCAGAGTTACCCTTGGGTCCCATGGAGCACCCATGCTCTAGCTAGCCTTTAGGCCTCTCCTTCTGCACCTTGCCAAGTAGAAGTCAATCTGAAAGGAAAAGAAAAT